TTATAAGTCAGGACGGAAGGAGCAGTAGGGATATTAAAGCAGATGATAGCGCAGGGTCGAGTCGCCTTTAATAAAAAGAAGTCAATTCTATGCTCGCGAACGGTTAATTTAGAAATTGGAAAAAGGTTGTCGTTTAAGGTGTATGTTTGGGGCACTGTACGGGTCCGAAACATGGACGGTGGGCGCGGCGGAAAAGACAAGGTTATAAGCTTTCGAAATGTGGTATTGCAGGCGAATGAGGAGGATACCGTAGATAGAGAAGGTTAGAAATGAAGAGGTATTAGAAAGAATAGAAGAACGGAGGACTCTATGGAGGTCAATAAGAAATAGGTGAGATAGAATAGTAGGACACCTTCTCAGGAATGAAGATCTAGTCAGAAACATATTAGAGACAGAAAAGGGGTAACGGTAGACATCGATTAGATTACTGTTTGCAAATAGTTAAAGATGTGGGTTATTCTAGTTTTGGGGAAATGCGAACATTAGCTCAGAATAGGAAAGAGTGAAGGTGCGTGTCCAGTCTTAGGACTGACGACCTGATGATGAGTCCTCTGTGAAACACAGACATGTAAACACACAGGTAGGGCATCTTCTCAGGCATGAAGTACTGAATGGAGACATATAAGTAGCAGAAAAAAGAGTTAATAACAGTAGAGGTAGGTCTTAGATTAGGTTATTGTTTTTAAATAGTTAAATATGCGGAATGTCTTAGAGAAATAGGAAGATTAGCTTGGGATAGGAATGTGCGGAGGTGCCTGTTCAACCAGCCTTAGAACTGACGACTCTGATGATGATGATAATGATGATAATTCTTCAATTTCTATGAGTGTGTTCCGAAATATAACCCAGCATATTGACCAGTGCTGATGACGTAATGAATCGACGCCATACTGTTGATTGGTTTCGAAATATACTGGCCAGTGCATTGATGTCAAATTGACGTCATATTGACAATAGTGTTTGTGCTCGTTTACAATAATTTTGCTCTAAAAGTTATTGAAGTTTCTTACAATAAAAAATTCCTCAAAGTCTGATGCACACACGCCTGTTTGATATACTACTACATCACATTTGTCTCACCAGTACAATATGGTGGGACACCAGTACAATATGGCGTCGATTTATGACGTCATCAGCACTGGCGAGTATGTTGGGTTATATTTCGGAACACACCCTGGTACGGTTTCTATTTTCGTGACAATTCCACATTTGAACTGGTGCTATTGAATTTCGTAGCACTCGTCAACAAAAGAATCTTCAAAATGGCACAATTTCTCGGAAACTGGAGAGTTTTCCATAATATTCAGTTAGCCGTCAGAAACTGTTTTTACAGAAATATATGCCAAAGCAGCGTGCAATCTGACAATATGTCGTATTTCGTAGTCGTGTTAGTAGGAGCGCATAGTATGCACACAACAAGTAACACCAATAGGTGGCATTTTTCGCAAAGTCTCCATCTTTTCCAACTACCTCGACAATGATGTCATTTTCACGTCATTCTAATGTTACCTTAATGTTTCTTCATTGTTGTTCCTTTGGATCGTATAATAGAGGCCATTTATAACGTCTACATTTAGCTTTATCCTTTTTAATTCTCTTTTTCTGTGTTCAGTTGTATTCAACAACCCCGTAAATAATCCTGTTAGGCCGTAATAATCGTTTATCGGATCAGCTTTTTTTCCAGCATCCCACACTCTGTCACTACTCGTAGTCGAATATAATTGATGTCGAGCTCATTAGTCCTGCTGTTAGGGTATTTGCTCAGTCAACTGTCACGTGTGCCATTTAGGGATGGAGTCGTTTTCTGTAACCGAAGGCCAACTAATGATTACATTAATTAACCGTTTGCCTGGAAACAGGGGAATGCGAAATAATCGGGGAAATGCTTCTGTTACAAGCAATCGTACAAACTGTACAACTTAACGAAAAGGGATCCCAATTTCTGTGTTATCTCCCTTCGGTTTCCTTTAATCGAACGTTATCAGGGACTAATACACATCGCAAATTACTTGCTTATCTGCTTCTGTATGCGATGGCAAGAAAGAACGGGGCAATGACTGTTAACAATTATGTCAGCGAAAGCTGGTTCAGTTTTGTTAGAAATAGTTTAACAAGACCTCTATAGATAGGTAAAGTAATTAAATTTTGGATGGGGGTGCTGATAAGGGTAGCTGTGTTATGTCTTTATTTTCCAGAAATTAAATTGTGGCGGTTATCGCAACATACGAATAAAAAGTGATTTTAATCATATACGTATTGTGAATCATACTTTCGACAATGGCTTAATATCTGAATCTTTTGTATATACTTCCAATGAAAATTTTATTGTTATTCTACAACTTGTAATATTGTATTCGAATTCATTTGGGTCTTAATTCTTTTGTATTCTATTTCTATATCTAATTAACTTTATTGCTTGTACTTTCCTATAATCCCTATTAACATTTCAACTTCGCATACTAACCGCATGACGTCTATAGCTTTTATCTTTTCTTAATGGCAATTTTATGATGGATTTCTTCGGTGATTTGTGAGTATATTCTAATTCCTAGCATTTCATTATTTCGGTACTTTCAACCCTCGGTACCACTACTACTACCCTACTCTTACATCGTTCAATTCTATTGGTACCCTACTTTCATCTATCAACGATCAGTTCCTCCTTCCTAGTTTTTCTAACATTTCCTTTTTGGAAAAATGATTTTGAGAGACGAGTTCTTACCAACCTTCGCTTCAGTTATCATCTCTATCTTTTCTATACCTACTCTGCTCCTTGTTAAGTTTTGTAAAATATAATTGTTATCGTTCTTGCTTTTATTTGTAGTTGTTATTTAGTTTTATTTACCTTACCCTCCAACAATTAGAACATTGAGGCTAAAAAATTAATTTAATTAAATTAAAATAATCACGTATTACAAAGAAACATTATCGATCATAATTCGATTTGTGTGTCGTTTTAGTAGAGAAACTACACATAATAGAAAAATAAATTTACATAAGTAGTTATCCTAAAAAACGCATTGGGCTTACATAGAATGGATTGATAATTAACTATCTACCTCTCCTCTCAATGCATGAGTGATGTGTTAATCACAAAAAAGAAAAACAAGGCAGATTTTGAGATTACTAAATAAAATTTTGTTATTTTGAATGCATTATTGATATTTTGAGGGACGATGTGGGAGGAGGGAATAGGGAATGCTTCTACCGATGCCCGAGACATAACCATTTGAGAATTGCAGTGCATTTCGTTTCTTTACCGATATAATTTTTAACGTAGATGTATACCGATTGCGAAATAGTGAACCCTGGCGTAAGGAAACTTATATACAGTATGCGAATTGCTGCTTCATAAGCATGCCATTTCGGTATTTCTTTAAACATGAATTATTAATTCTTATTAATTTTTTGAGTGTAAGTAAGAGAGTATAAATTATTTCTATTTGTTTTATTGTTTATCTTTAGGGCTCCAATAGTCCCTGAATGATAAGTCCTTTCGTGTGTAAAATTTTATTACTACTTTTGGTCGGTTTTAAACTAATTTTTATAATTAGTTTCGTTCTTAATCACCTCTGCAAATTAAATTTTAATGGTTCATCTGAAATCGGGATCAATTTATATCCCTGACCCTAGTATTGTATTAAATGAAAGTATTTTTTAATTTACTNTTAACGAAGATAAAGTGAATGTAGCTCTATCTAAAATTGATATACAAAATTATATTCGTAAACTTCTAAGTTACGTTGGGGTTATCTGAAATTACTTAACAGCCCCTAGATAAATCTTTTGGAATACAATATGTGTTTCAACTGATGTTAGGTTGATGTCCTTTGTTTTGTATAAATCCTCGGGCTGATTCTAGTGAAAATTCAATTTTCTCTGGAAGGTGATCTAAGTCGGGGTATTAAACAAGACAAACTACAAAATGCATTTCAGAATATATTGTAAGTCTATCTTGTTTAACTTTGTTGTTCTCTGAATATCTATACCCGTAATAGCTATACATATATCTGGATTTCTCTTCTGAAGATTGACATTTATTTTCAAAACATTTCTTTGGTTATTAATTAAGTAAATAACCTGTGCCGCAAATTGCTGGGAAGACGGATCTTATTGAATTCATACTGACTCTATTGTAAACCATATTTTTGGTTAGAAGTAGATATCAATAAAGGCGAAGTTTTGTTACGCAATAACCCACGAGATTCTGAATGACCTATATCATAATCTACTGGCTCGAGCATGGGCCAATTTCTGGAATTGGAAGATAATCACCCACAACAAAAGTTAATCTTAGACATTTCAATAACTAAGTGCTACATTAAAGAACAATTTTACTGATTTTGTGAACAATGAATGGAGAAACCAACTTTTTCGTTTAGTAATTATCGAAGGAATTACTTAATACTGCAGCATTCGATTCCAGGGACCTTGAAACGTGGAGATATGTCAAAATTTCGGATTCACGAAATCGGGTTCATTACTAGGTCGCACTGGGAAGTGAAAAATTGGTATCAAAAATAAAATGTCTTGCCTAGTTAGTATTGTATTAAATGAAAGTATTTTTTAATTTACTTATACTTTACCAAAAAATCCACTTGATACGTTATTGATTTAGTGGACTAAAATTGGGATTAGGTTCTGGATAAAATAATTAAAAACGCGCCACCGATTTCCTATATTTTATGGAAAAGGGCATTAGGGGATGACTGACAATGAAGAATGATTGAACGGTATATAAAAGACCTATATCACTCCCAATGATAGATTTAAGAAAAAAATTGCACTTATTGAACAGTCTTCTTTTTAAAAATACTTCTGACAAGAGGGCACCCATGAATGATTGATATAGATACAGATATATCACCCGCTTATAATAATGTTTTTGTCATACTGTAGTGTTGTATGTTATTAGCAGCACCCTAGTGTTCGTTCTACGTACAAGAACCGTACTATATAGCACCATAATCTGCCTACTGAACATTTTTAATCTCTTTCAGACGTTCTCGCTTAATTTACATTTTCAGACGCGCGTGTATCAGAAGAGGAGGAAACTGCGATCATCGGCCGAACGACTGCTGCTACAACAGCTCCTGTCGCTGCAACTTATGGGGCTCCAACTGTCGGTGTCAGCGGGTAGGACTGTTCCAGAAATGGGGCTAATCCCCAACATCTAACAGGACTGCCTTACACTAGCTTTGCACTAATTCATTTCCATCTCTAACGCATACCTTTTAAGGCACTGTTCCACTAACAACAAACGCTTTCTACTCCAAAAATAAGACAAAATTAATACCAAAATTGAAGGTCAATAAATAGAATAATTTCAATGTCATAAACAAAAAATACAAATTTTGTTCATCGGAGCGAATTAAGGAATTGTTGTTAACAGTTATTATTATTATTATAAAAACGTCTTCGTTTTTTATTGAGGGGATGCTACAACGTTAGAATGATATTAGAAGAAAGTAATTTTAGAATTTTGGTGTAGAAAAGCAAAAATTTGCGATACAGTGTCTATTATCAATCTGTAACTGTGCAAAGCGATCTATATTGTCGACCCTTGCTTCGGATATGGCTAACGGCACTTTGAACAAGTCTTATTATTTACCACCCAATTGATTTTTTATTCGTTTGATTTACTGGAAGGTCTAGGGATCCATGTTCATCTTATTTCGTGTGAACCCAGTGTGTACGTGTGTGTTTTAAACAATTAGTTTGTTGTCAGTATTTCTCCTCCGCGCAAATGCAGTTAAGTAAATAAACATATGTATCATACCTATCTGATAGGACCGGTAATATTTTTTTAACCGCATCAAAAACAAAAAAGAAATAAAGAGCTGAATCGACTGGGCTGGTTGCTACTTACCTACTAATTAAATATATGTCTTCCTGTTAGTGAAAGTTGTCATGAAAGAAACTGAAAATTGTTTAAATTGTGCCAAAATTGATAACGTTTCGGTAACTGGAACGCGCTTGGAGAAAACTACTCAGTATTTAAAAAGTTTCTTCATTTCGTAACCTTTATACTGAATTTATTGATGATAACAGAAGAAGACAACAGAAAAAATAAATTTTTATTGTTCGTTTTGAACTTTTTGAAGGAGTTGAAGAATGATACAATAGTTTCATCGTTTAAGCATTCTAAATTGGTTTTAACACTTTTAGGTAAAATGGAAACTCAAAATAACGTTAAAATCGATAAGAGTAAGGTTAATAGGTATCATTATTTGGTAGGTATTCGATTTACTGGATCACTTTACGAACCCAGTCGATTAATTATAGTAGATACCCTTTATTTTAAAACTGAATCAACTTCTTCCTCAAAATTTTTATTTTTAGTATTCTTTTGTGACAACTTTTACACCAAAAATGGTAGTTTTTAAAAAGTGTTTCAAAATTTCCAAATTCCAATTGCTAGCAATGTGCCCTTTGAATAATAACGTCACCCATACGAAAGGCAACCAACATCTAAATGAACATATTTTTCAAAGGTTACATACGCTAGAATTATTAAATATCACTTGCGAGATTATGAACGTATTAAGATGTATTTTGCAGAAAAAAAAAACACAGGGCTGCTTCATTCTTATAGAGAATCACCAGCCACATTCTGTATGAGAATTTAAGCCGCAAATGCAATTTATTGAAATTTTTAATGGTACTGTGTATAAAAATAATATTCTCTAACCATTGTTAAGTACATATCTGTAAAAGTGTAAACGTACCTTTAATAAAATGGAAGAATCTCTTTGTATATTACTAATATAATAAAAACAAAGACGTTATTGACAAATTATATTTATATGTAATGCAAACCTATGAAAATACCAAATATATCAGCTGGCCTATATCGTGTGTTTTATTTTGGTTCTACGGCGTGCTGATGAGAACAAATAAGATCGAAATAAACATCCATGCTTGCGGTAGTTTTGAAACATTACTGACCATCAACTTTAGCTGTTCTTAGTAATTTTTTGAGTGTAAGAGAGTATAAATTATTTCTATTTGTTTTATTGTTTATCTTTAGGGCTCCAATAGTCCCTGAATGATAAGTCCTTTCGTGTGTAACATTTTATTACTACTTTTGGTCGGTTTTAAACTAATTTTTATAATTAGTTTCGTTCTTAATCACCTCTGCAAATTAAATTTTAATGGTTCATCTGAAATCGGGATCAATTTATATCCCTGACCCAATTTAACGAAGATAAAGTGAATGTAGCTCTATCTAAAATTGATATACAAAATTATATACGTAAACTTCTAAGTTACGTTGGAGTTATTTGAAATTACTTAACAGCCCCTAGATAAATCTTTTGGAATACAGTAATAGCTCTTTATTAGCGGGGTATACGTTCCATAAATATGCCGCGAATGCAGAAACCGTGGATATGGAATGGTAATTAGTATGGAATCATAGGGGATACGTTTTAAGGTTCCAAAATAAAACCAATATTTATCAGAACAAAATCAATTTATTGAGAAATTCGCAATTAAAATTAATCGTTATAATCACCTTCAGGTAAGGGTTTAAATAATTTAGTGATTTTTTCTTGTTTCGAATTTTGAATTAGTCCACTCGGTCACACATTTTATAAAAATAACCGTACTTAAAAGATAACACCGAATCGCTGTCTCGGTACGTACCAACAGTACATACTCAAAAGATGCCGATGCATAAAGGGGATTCAGCAGTACATGCGCTGTAGGGTAAAAACATGCTTATCGGTTCTAGATATCATGAGTAAAATGTCTGGAACAGTGGTTTGAAATTTTGTAGTAAGATAGATAAAGCTTTATTCTAAAGCCTGTCGAAGGCCATTTTGTAATTTTTTAATGTGTATTGAAAATGCGTGTTCTACAAGAAGCATAAACTTTAAACACTTGTAAAAGCTTTTAATGACCGAATTATTGAAAACCAAAAACGTACCGACTTAGTGTGAACCTTTGTCTGTTACCATACAAAAAATCACATATTTATCTCGTAGCGTTAAATCACAATGTTTAGAATAGAAACCCATGTTTTCAGAAAAATTGCGGGTCAATTCCCTTAATAAATGACACCGAATCTTTTTCTATTTACCGATTGCATCCGCGAATAATGAAATTTTAGCAGCGAATACAGGAATTGGGTTGCAATTTTTTCACTCGCAAATAATGAAAAATTTTCTCTCGAAGGTGATCGAATCCGAAGTATTAAACAAGACAAACTGCAAAATGCATTTCAGAGTATATTGTAAGTTTATCTTGTTTAACTTTGTTGTTCTCTGAATATCTATACCCGTAATAGCTATACATATATCTGGATTTCTCTTCTGAAGATTGACATTTATTTTCAAAACATTTCTTTGGTTATTAATTAAGTAAAACATGAAATTAGTTTTGATATCAATATTGATTCGTTGACATTGCTTATCTTTGTGTAAATTAATAATTAATCTGTATTTATTACTCTGTTGGATTAGTACGAAGGTGTAAAAGGGTCAAACATAATCGTTTTTTAAAATTTCCTGTTTGATTTTTAAAATTATCAAGGCCGCTGCGTACTTCTTTCTAATCTTAATATCTACTTTATATATATTTTCTATAACAATTCTATTTGTGTTTTTCCTCCCATCCCCGTATTTTCACCATTAAAAATACTATACTCCCCACCATCACTTAAAATAACATCATTTTTCTACCCCAGTCACCTTTACAAAACTTCTGACCTTACCCCATAATCTTCCCAACATTGCCCTCCCTTTAGCAACTTGATTCATAATATGCACTTCATCCCTGTTACAATCGATAGTCGTTTGTGCTTATCGTTTACGGTGTACCTTTCTCTAAGTGAACAGACAATAGCTGTTTCCAAATGTAGTATATTTACTCAGAATTTGATGTTGTGATCTTCTTCTCTATTAAAAAATTAAATAATTAATTGACGATATTAGAACGAAGTTCCTTATTGCATGTTATACCGCTGGCGGAAATGAGCCAGTGAAAATTGGCTTTATCATATATATTTCTTTCCATTCTCTAATTTTTTACCGAAATTTCATTATATTTAATGGTATGGTATAATTTATATGTTGACGTTTTTACTGCGAGATCTAATTATTTGGTGAAGGTTCCAGCCATTTGATGTTTCCATTACAAAGTAAAATTCATTAAATTTTTCCACACATAATGGAACAATTTTTTAATATTCTGCGCAAATCATGGTGAATTAATTAATTTGGATGTGTGAAAGGCGGTTTGAAGAAACAGGATTATATAAGACTCGTAGCATTCTAATTTATTAATCTTTAATACATAGTAAATTTCATCATTTCAAGCCATAAAATATTAATAAAACATTAGGTAAATCTTACACAAAAAAAACATAAACATCGCATTGCTATCGAACAAGATGAGAAAATGTTCATTACTTATATGGAGGGTAAAGGTAAGGAGTATTATCTCTATTGTGAAAAAGTGTCTGTCAAACTGCGTTAAATTAGGGTGGCGCCAGAGTAACAACAGGGTAAATTTCAAATAAAGCGCCAAAAGTTATTAGAATAGGATAGAAAAATAAACAAGGACAAAATTACTTTGAATTACGTAAATAGTTGAGGTTTGGTTTACTGGGCTGTCACTAACCACTCAACAACAGCTACATTCATACCATACCTTTTGTCTACACTAGCGCCATTTTGGAAGGTTTTTGAACTGTTATTTACCCCTTAAAGTTGGACATTTTTTCAACTTTTCCCCCATATGAGATGGTTCTACTTACGTTTACCCTCTATAATTACTTATCGTTAATTATTTTGGAAGATAAACCTCTTAGCATTAGGAACTTAAAAAATAACACATGCTCAAAACACATACACCTTGCTAAAATTGAAAATTTCTCTTTCGGGCCTGTCCATTATGTGTATAATGATATGTCCCGATTAATAAAAGTAATTTGTTTTATTTCTCTAGGGTAATGACAAGGACAAATTTTAAACACTACAGTCGAATAGCCGAATATTCCAACAGGGAGAGCGTTTTTGTTAATTAAATGACAAAATTATCCTTTGAAATAAACAAGTTATTCCACAAAATGCTAATTAACAGGGTGCTGTTTACAAAGTCAGGCACGTTATTGTCTCATCCTAAGGGACCTCTCCTGCTAACTGACGGACTTTCTTGTGTTTCTGTAACCTGTTTCTCCTAATTAAGTGTCTTCATTGGGACGGATATGTGTGATAATTTTTCTCTGAATGTTTTGCTATATATAAAGACCCTTACCAATGCTCTTATTTGCACACCAGCATGATGGTTATGAAAACTGGAATAACACAAAATTTATTTCAACCAAAGTACGACGCATGTTTGGAGCGCGGCGTTGTACGGGTGCGAAATATAGACAGTGGGCGCGGCGGAAAATAAACAGGTTAGAAGTCATCGAAATTTGGTGTTAAAGGCGAATGATGATGATAACGTGGGGTAGAAAAGGTTAGAAATTAAAAAGAGTAAGAGAACAAAGGACTCTCTGGAAGTCAATAAGAAATAGGCGAGATAGGTTAGTAAGACACCTTCTCAGGCATGAAGGTCTAGTCAGAGACATAGTGCTTCGGACAACTAATGTGTCGTGTTTTGGCGTTCGAATTTGAGCTATTTTGCTTGTTCTACAACAATCGCCAAAGTTTTTCCAATCTTTATATTACAAGTTTTTAGTAAGTCGAAGTTTACTTTTGGTCTGTTCACATTTTCTATATCTCCATGGTCTTTGGATATCTCTAACTCTTATTTTTCTAACTCGAAAATCTCTATAATTCGGCGGAAGTGTTTCTTTTTGGATATTTTGTATTTGAAAATGTATGACCTGTCTGCTTGGCCTACAGGGTTTGTCCGGAAAGTAATAGGACTGATTTCCTTCCGGCGCGACTGTACTTCGGAGCGTCCGCGCACCGACTGGATTGCTGGATTCGGTAGAGAGCATTCCCAGCTAACCTAGCTAACGAACGAGCGGCTGGTGAGTTGTCTCCGAGCACCTGGAGAGTCAGAAGAGGCTTTTTCGCGCGACGTGTTTCTGTGAGTGGTGCAAGCCGAAAATGCAGCGTTCGTTAGAGCAGAGGTACGCGATTAAATTCTGCGTGAAACTCGGTAAATCTGCGACAGAGACGTTTGATATGATCAAGCAGGCTTACCCAGATGTTGCTTTAGCAAGAAGTGGTGTGTTTCGGTGGCACCAGGCCTTTTCAGAGGGCCGGGAAGAGGGAAGACCCTGCTGGAAGACCTTCGACTTCGACAAAAACCGACAATGTGACCCGTGTGCGCGAAGTTTTGAACTCAGACCGTCGACTAAGTATTCGTTTAATTGCCCAGATATTAAATTTACCAAAATCTGTGGTTCATGACGTTGTGACGGAGCATTTAAACATGCGCAAGGTGTGCGCGAAGATGGTGGCAAGAAAATTTAAACATGTGTGAAAGTGATCCCCAATTTTTGAATAACGTAATCACAGATGACGAATGGATGGATCTTTGAGTATCATCCCGAGACAAAGAGGCAATCTTCCGAATGGCACACGTCTCCTCGCCCAAGAAAGGGAAAAATGAGCAAATCCAAAGTGAAAACGATGCTCCTCGTCTTTTTTGACATGAAAGGCATCGTCTACCATGAATTTGTTCCTCCTGGACAAATCGTCAACGCCAAGTTTTACGTTGAAGTGCTCAAGAGACTCAAACGAAGGGTCCGAGAAGACATCGCAGTCGACTGGATGTTGCACCACGACAACGCCCCGGCTCACACCGCCTTTCTTGTGTACTGCCTACTACCTGGTCAAGGCCGGTATCCCAACGCTTCCGCAGCC